GGTGGGTGCACCGATATGTCGGTTGACTATCAGATCAACACTGATAAAAGGAGAAATGACATTATCGGCTGCTGGCTTTTCTTTGGTCATGGTAGCTGATAAATATTGTCACATGCCCGAAGCACCCTGGTAAGTGTAGTCCGGTTCCTGCACCCCACTGCTGGACCGAGCCCATGACAGACTACAGGTCCCAGCAAGCAGTGGGAGGAGGAGGGGGTGCTGGGGAGCAGTCACAGGGCACAACACTCAGCAACAAAAGGATCATTACTGGCTCCTGTCACTAGCAATGCCGCACTTGCAGCCTGAGCACTGGGGCTGCCATGGAGACATTGGGTTATGCAGAGGTGGGGTAAGGTGCCATGTAAGGGACATTCCATTCTACCAGGCACCTTTGCAAAAGTGACTTCTCCCCTGCACCTGTGGGAGCTCAGCTGCATGGGGCCTGCCAGTGCTGAACCAGTGGTGTGCTCTGTGGCTTCAAACACGCTCAATGCCGCTTTCCGTGTGAGGGTCCACCCTGCCCACCTGGGATGACAAGAAAAGCTGCATGGGGGGGGTGTCTGAGGGTAGGAGCCATGGGAGAGTGGACAATATGCATGGGAATAAGACAGTCATTGCCTTCCTCATCAGCCAGAGCAGGCAGGAGCTGCACCCATGTGCATACATGACTGTGTGTATATTGTAAATGCAAAACAAACAAACAAAATATTTATTTGTCAGTAGTTTAAAATGTCATTTATGTCAGTAGTTTAAAATGCCTTGCATTATTACTAAATATTGGTTACTGGATAGACATCAGCTGATATGGTTAACTAAGGCATCAGCTATCAGTATCCACCAAAAAAATCTTTATCAGTGCACCCATATTAGCTAAGTAAATTTAAATTAGAATTAATTATACAAAATTCTATAAATAAACAAGAATATTTAGTTATTTAAATTGCAATGCCATGACTCCCATGATGTCTGTAAAATGGAAAATTTCATAGTGCATTGAACATCTAGATGACAATGCAAACTGTACTAAAAAAATCTTAATATTTAGGCTACTTTACTCGCATATAAATTAAGAAATGGGATTCAGACAACTGGACAAAGGGAGAAGACTTGAAAGTTTTCCCTATTTCCATACGTCATTTGTTGCCTGTATAAGGTCTCTTTTCTTCCCCTCTCTCTCCACTCCTGACATAAAAACAGGAATAAGCAGACAGGCAAAATGCCCCCATGTGACTGAGAACAGACTTGACTTAACCAGCCCCACTCATCACCTGCAACTAGGAACCTCCCAGCAGTGGACAGGAGGCACAGTGCTTAACCCTTGTTAGCCAGACATAGGTGCTACATATGAAAATATAGGTAGAATTCCCCAGTAAGATTCAGGGACAGAGCACCAGTCAAAGGTCTCTAAATCTTACTTAACTCCAAGGTCTACCAAGTAATTGCCTTTATACATTGCTTCAGGATCTTATTTGCCTATCAGACTCGGGGAGTGGGGGTGGGGAAGCTGTGGTGATATCTTTTATTCCATCAGATGCATAGTTGGGAGAGCTGTTTCTACGGGTGACCTGAGGAAGGGCACAACTCTACCAACTATGAAGCTGATCCAATAAATGATATCACCAAAAAATCCCTTGCTTCTTGCATTTTCCTTACACCAGTGTTTCTCAAGCCATGGGTCATAACGAAAAGTGGGTCACAAGATTATATGAAAGGGTCATGAACAAACTTTAAAAATAAAGCAACAAATTTTTAAAATGGATCTGTGCCTTTTAATTTTCTCCTTTTAAAGTAGAAAAACATGGGAAACTGACTTTTCCCATGCAAGCTGTCAGAGTTCCAGCCTGCAAGGGGCTGACTGGGGGCCCACCATGCCCCCCACACACCCAACCCCTGCCCCACACAGTGGAGGGCTGGGACCTGGGGGCAGTGGGTCAGGAGTGAGAGAGACTGGGTCAAGACTGGCCATCGAAGTTAACAAATGGGTCATGGCAGAAAAAGGTTGAGAACCACTGTCTTAGTCCATCAAAACTTCAATACTCCAACCCTTCTATATCCAAGTCAGCTCTTTATCTTCAGAGCCTCTTAGGTGCTTGGAGGCAGAAGTATGCCTTCAACTCCATACCTTCCTCATTCTCTAAGCTGCTGCTAGGAGACAGCAGGTAAAGCAGACTAAAGTAGATGTTAATATTTCTGATACTCTCATTTTTGGTTATATTCCCCTCCATCTCCTTAAATAACTTCCAGGCATCTCATTTCTAAACAGAGCTGTTAGTTCTACTCTGTTCGCAACGTTTTGAATAGCAGCACATGCATGAGCTATGCAAGGTCAGTCTGCTCACATGCATGACAGTATCTTTGCAACTAAGAGGGCTGAAGTGTTGGGTTTTTTTAATTTATTCTGATCCATTCAGCTCCCCAAGTTTATTTTTTACTGTCACACTTTCCTTTTTTACTCTTCTATCCTTTCCTTATATCTTTTGCTCTTATTTTACTCTGTGCAACAATGACAGCAACAACTATCAAACAGTAAGGCTTATGAAACCAATAAGAACAGCTGTGTTTTCAGCACGGGGATGAGCCAAATGCCCAAACAACAGCCGTTGTTCTGGTCTTCTTTCCTAAAACCCAAAGGACTGCAGCTATAACTGTGGAGAAGTCTGATAGGCCTAATACCATTAACTATCCTAGTCTAAGAAATGGCAAAAAAGTGGTAAGGGGAGGTAAAAACAGACATCCTCGGTCAACTGACTTAACAAATAGCCAAGATCTTCCTAGTTGGCCCCAATCCTACAAGTTTGACCTGTTCCCAGAACAGCTTTCTGCAAGTACAAGAAAAGATTTGTCCAAGCTGAACTTATTAAAGGATAAAGTCTTAGGAGGCAGCAGAGTTGCTAGTGCAAGAACCTGTGGTGTATCAGACACTTTAAAGGGCCAGTGACAACTTAAGAAGCACACTTCCGTATCAGAAGCAAACCTGAAAATGTAACTAAATGCTTAAGTTCAAGCTAAGAAAACTTCCTACAACATAGTAATTCAAAACAATCTTGGTATTTCTTGTTTTGCCAAAGATGTTCTCTGAAATTCCAAAAGCCTGACCTGTCACTGAATACCTATAATTTATGATGCCACAAAACAATGTATTTTGAAACATCTTTGGTCAAGCACAGGGGGGGGGGGGGGGGGGGGGGCGGCTGGACCCAATTATCTGTAAGGTCCCTTCCAGCCCCTAACAACTATAAAACTGAAAAGTTGAAACTACTGTATCTGCCTACCCAAGAGCCTTCCACAATGACCCTTCTCCAATCTGGATACTGGAGGTGCAACATGGTCTAATGAATAAGTCACAGGACTGAGAGCAACAAGATTTTAAGGTAGTTTTTTGTGTGTACAATTTCCTTTCCAACCAGGTGCCTTACTAAGCTTGTGAACCTTTCATTTGAGAGCTGTACCTCATAAAAATTACTGTATTTAAGCCTATAGGGTCTTGGTTAGAGCCTTTATGTACCAGCGTGTTAAATGACAATGGGGACATCCAGACCAGGAGCTCATGCTCCACTCACTCACTCATTTATTGTAGTTTCATAGTTGCTGGGGTCAGAAAGGACCTCAATAGATCATAGAGTCCGACCCCCTGCCCTGGGCAGGAAAGAGCGCTGGGGTCAGACGACCCCAGCCAGGTGCTTGTCCAGTCTCCTCTTAAAGACCCCCAAGGTAGGGAGAGCACCACCTCCCTTGGAAGCTGATTCCAGATTCTGGCAACCCTCAACTTTTAAGTAATAACGCCAAGTCTACTTAACTTAGATTTGTTAGTTTCATCATAACACTTGCATTCAAAAACAGACAGGTAAAAATTGATTGCAGGAAAGTGAAAAGCAGTAGAAAAAAGGGGGCAATTAGGAGTAAGTAGCCCAGAATGCAGCTTAGGTGTTTTCTTATAGCCACATCATTTGTTCCTAAACCCAAAATAACCTGGTATCAATTAGTTACATTCCCACCTTATCTATAAGAAATAAAAACAAGCAGTCCACAGGGATATGCAGGTTTCCTTCCACCAACCACAGGGGTTAGTTTCCCAAAAGTTCCCATGGTTGGCAAAATTTGGCAGGGCTGTGGGAGCAGGGGCTGTGGGGCACCAGCAAGGCTGTGGGGGAGACAGAGGGGAGAGAGAGGCAGAAGCAAGGCTAAGGGGACCATGGGGGGTATTGTCCAACTGTACCCCACCCTTCTCTGAAGTGTGGATGCTCAAAACCGTGGTTGGTGCAGGAAACCTGTACTAGCAAGTGGTGTGCATAGGTTACACAAGTGACTCTTGCCAGCATTGGGTGGAGCAGAAGGTACGGTGAAGCACCGTCCCCACTTCGGGCCCTGCAATTCAAAAACAAATTGCAGAGCACAGGGGAAAGCAATCAAAAAATGTGCCGAGGTCTAAAAACATGACACACGAGGAAAGACTAGAAAATGTTGGACGATTTAGTACAGGGAAGGGGGGGGGGTGGAAATACACGAAGGATGGCTACAGAGAACAGCGACAGACACCGCTTTCGCGGACCGGGAACAGAAGTCGCAATGGCTTTAAACGGCAACAGCGGAGATGCCGGCCAGAAAGCGAACGCGCGGCCCCGGCCCCGCAGCGTGACCTTGGGCCGGGCCCGGTCGGGAGGAGAAGGGATGGGGGGGATGCGGCGCGCCCCGAAAAAAGCCGCGGGCCGCTCCTCCTCT